ACTCCCATCGGCGTTGTCGTGGTTCTTCCCCCTCCTCCTCGTCCGCCTCCTCATCCTCCTCATCTTCCTCCTTCCCCCACTCCTACTCCTATCCTTATTCCTCATTAGAATATACTCTTACTCCCCCCTCTGGCCAGCCGATAGGGGTTCCATCCGGGCCCTCCCATCCTAACTGCAACAAAACAATACAAAGTCGCCGTTGTTTCTCTAAACATGGCCTTGCTTGTCGTCGACGATGCGAAATGCGTAGCAGGAATAGGACGCGGCGCACATCGCGCGCCGCCGTCAATCTGGGCCCTCCAATCCTAACTGCAAAACATGAATACAAAGTCGTCGTTTTTCTCTCCACATGGCTTTTCTTATCGTCGACGATGCGAAATGCGTAGCAGGAATGGGACGCGGCGCACATCGCGCGCGGACGTCTGGGGCAACCCCAAGCGGGAGGGGCCATCCTACCTGTCAAAAACCATACAAAGTCGACATGCCTTTTCTCAGTGGGGATTTTCTTGTCGTCGTCTTTGCGAAATGCGTGGCAGGAAGGGGGCGCGTGCACATCGCGCGCGACAGGGCGAAATGTCGCTCTCGCTTCGGCGCCGCGCATGTTTTCTGAAAGTTGCGCTCCAGCTAAGGCGCGGCACACATGTTTCGCTCACCAATTCGTCGCGCGCCTGGGGCCCCCTGGGGCCTCGCAGGGTCTCCTGGGACATCCTGGGGCTTCCCGGGGCTTCCCCAGGGCCTTGTGGATCCTCCTGCAGCCTCCTGAGGCATCCTGGGGGTTCCTGGGATTCCCTGGGGGCTTCCTGACACTTCCTAGGGCTTCCTGAAGCCTCCTGGAATTACCTGGGGCTTCCTGGGCCCTCCTGAAGCCTCCTGGGGCTTCCTGGGGGTCGGTGGGGTTTCTCCTGAGGCCTCCTGAGGTTTCCTGAGGCCTCCTCGGCTCGTGCTGAAATGCCAGCGTAGTCTTTGAGACGCGCCAGGGATTCCTTATCGGTGACCGCCATCGCGGCTGCATCAGCTGTGGCAAACCACCTTGCCGATCTAATTTCGGTCCCCAGTTGCGCCAGCACTGCTTCTTATGTTGTGGGAGGGCGGGTGGGAATGGATATGCCATGTTTGACTCGCTCGAGCTGGCTGGCTTGACTCCTACTCCTACTCCTACTCCTACTCCTACTCCTACTCCTACTCCTACTCCTACTCCTACTCCTACTCGTTTACTCCTCCTCTACCTCCTCCTCCTCCTCCTCATCCTCCTCCTCCCTCCTCCTCCTCCTCCCTCTCCTCCTCCTCCTCCCTCCTCTCTTCCTCCTCCTCCTCCTCCTCCTCTCCTCCTCCTCCTCCTCAGCAGCAGCAGCAGCAGCAGCAGCAGCAGCAGCAGCCTTCCTCATCGCTTCCCTTAGCCTTTCGTTTTCCCCGCAAACGGGGGCCGGGTAGAGTCGCATTCGATGTCTTGGATGAGTGTTTTTTTTCACTTGCCCACATTCAGTTCCGGGGGGGGGCCTTGACAGGGGAGCGGAGCAAATGAATCCTGGGTCCCGATCTGCCAAAGCAGCATCGACGTGGTGGATTTGGTGCGTTCCCTGGGGCGGTGCCCTCCGGCGGTGCTGCACGTTGTATCTGGCGGCCCAGGAGCGGCTCGGCCGACGCCTCTACTTGAGGGGCACCGCGGTGTCGTTGGTGATGCTCGTACTGAGCTTCCGGGTGGATCTGAGCAAGGCCCGCTCCTCTGCGTTTTCTCCCTCTTCCTTCTGTCTGCCACTGACTGCTCTGGCTCTCCTGCGAGGGGCCTGCTCGGTGTCCGCGGCCGTTTGAGCCTGAACTGCGGTCCGCTTGAGGCAATTGTCGCGTTGTGTTGCAGAGATGGGGGAGGAGAGAGGCAGGGAGAGAGAGGGGGGGGAGGGAGGGAGGGAGAGAGAGAGGGAGAGAGGGAGGGAGGGAGGGAGAGAGGGAGGGATAGAGGGAGGGAGGGAGAGAGAGGGAGGGAGGAGAGGGAGGGAGGGAGCGGGGGGACAAAGAAGGGGGAGAGAGAGAGAGAGAGAGAGAGAGAGAGAAAAAAAAAAAAAAAAAAAAAAAAAAAAAAAGAGGCGGGGGGGGGGCTCCTCCTCCTCCTCCTCCCCCTCCTCCTCCTCCTCATCCTCATAAATCCATAAAGCCAGAGCAAGTGCCACTCGGACGTTGGAGCTGGCCAGTGGGGGGTCCGCGGACCGACGGCGCCGGGGGGACACGAGGCATCCGCGAGCCCAGCGAATACGTGCAGTGCCCGCCTCCGCCGTGAGGGGCGTACCTCCCGCGGAGAGGCAGGAGAAATCCCCTGGGGAACGCCGGAGCTCGAGGGTGCGCAGAGGGGGGTGCTTGGCCCAAGGTGGGAGTAGAGGGGGCGAGCCCAGCTCGAGGCTGGCGGTTCCCTCCTGCAGGGGGCCAGCCAGGGCGGTTCTCCTCTGCCCCCACGTCCTGGCCCTGTCCCGCCTTCGCGTCCCCTTGAGGGAAGGGAAAACTGGCTCTGGGGGGGCGCATTGAACCCTGATCGCCCACGCATCGCCGATCGGGGCACGGGTGCCCCACTCTGCCCAGGAGTGCTCGGTCTCGCTGCCGCATCGGTGATGCATCTCGTCGGTTTCAGGCCGATGCCCTCCCCCATGGGCAGTGCCCCCCACGTCTGGGCGGCGCGCGCGGGGAGGGCGGCGAGAGGGGGGCTGGCTTCTAAAATGACATGGGGATCATAAAAGGCAGGTGGCTTCTTGTGGAAGCCCTCCCGACTGCCAAGAAGGCTTCTCAAAAGCTTCCGAGCCTTTCGAAGAAGACCCTCTCAGAAGCCCTCACAGACGCCCTCTTTGAAGCCCCCCGCCATCCTCGGAAACCGCCACCACCTTGTGCGCGCCGCCAAAGATCGGCTCACCTCCCACCGCGTGTTGTACAGGGCTCCCCAGGCATCCGGAGATGCATGGTTTTTCAATGCGCGGCCCCAGAGGTCCCAACCCCTCCCCCGAGAGTAGTTCTCGTCCCCGGTCCACAGTTCAAGGGCCCAGGGCCTGGCTCCACAAGCCGAAACCAGGGAACACCGCCTGGATCACAAACACACACACACACGAAGCAAAATAACAGCAAAAGCATGTCTGGGTCTGTCCGGCCACATAGGTCCTCTGGGTCGTTCTGGGCCTCGGCGTCGCCACGCACCGCCTGCCCATGGTGCGGCAGTACCTGACCTGGCGCAGGGCGAGGGCCGACCTGCACGAGATCCATCTCCCAGGCCAGCGCCTCACCGACGCGCCCTCGCCCTGCCGGGCCTCCTCGCGAGACCTCGCGGGCGTTGAGCGGTGCACAGCAAACTTCTCGGTCGCCGAGGACGCTTGTCCCAGGGCGGCTGGAAGCAGCGGCACGTGGACAGTGCTCTGTCCGCCAAGAGACATGCAACGCTGCTCGCTTCCGGGTCGCGCGAAGGGACGCGACGCCGAGCATTGCGGCATGGTGCTGGTCTTTTGGTCGTTTGCTTCGAACGGCTGGAAGAAGGAAGGGTTCACGCGTCATCTTCTTCTACCTCCCCAAGAAGCCCTTCTACTCCTCCGGCTCTTCTTGATCCTCTTCTTCCACAATACCATTTTCTTCCTCTAGCCTTACTCGTCGCCCGTGCCAATGTGGGTCGGTGTCTGCGCTTCGTCACTGGCTTCAGCGCATGAAAAGCAGCACGCAGCACCAGAGTAATCACGGCGTCCAGTGTGGCCATTCTTGGTCCAAAGTCGTGGGAGCTTGTGGATGGTGTCCGGTATGGTGATGTTACGGTGATGTTTTTTGCTGGCATCGTTGGTGATGGTATTAGTACGGTTGCCGAAACTTTGGGTGCCGCCTCGTGGGGGAGGGCGGCGCATCCAGACAGAATTTCCATCCCGTCCGCTCGGCAGGCGGCTAGGCTGGAGCTGCCGCCCGTGCCATGCACGATTGCCGCTCCGCCTCCCGACGCTGCTTCTCCTGCTCCTGCTCGCTATTGTGGCCCCCAGCTTCCTCGTCTCCCGTCTGCGACCCTCCGCCTTTCAAAGATCCCCCCCCATCCTCTCTCCGCTCCTCGTCTCCGCTCCGCTGCTCCTGGGCCTTCTCCGCACTCCGTCGCCTTCGTCCTCTCCCTCCTCCTCTTCCTCCTTCCCTCCCCTCCTTCCCCGTCCACCCCTTCCTGCCCCCCCCCCCCTTGCCCAGGGGGGGGAGCCCTGCGCCCAGCGCGGGAAGGGACGTCCACGCGGCGGGGCGCCGCACCGGAAGGAACTCGAGCCGCGCGCGCCGGCACAGGGAGACGACCAGAAGGAGGAGGGGGAGGAGGGAGGAGGAGGAGGAGGAGGAGGAGGAGGAGGAGGAGGAGGAGGAGGAGGAGGAGGAGGAGGAGGAGGAGGGGCAGGAGGAGGAGGAGGAGGAGGAGGAGGAGGAGGAGGAGGAGGAGGAGGAGGAGGAGGAGGAGGAGGAGGGAGGAGAAGGAGGAGGAGGGGGAGGAGGAGGAGGAGGAGGAGGAGGAGGAGGAGGAGGAGGAGGAGGAGGAGGAGGAGGAGGAGGAGGATCCGCGCGCATCGGGGAGGCGGGCGGACGGCCGCCTCCCGAGCGCCCGCGGGGCGGGCGCGCCGACAGGGGCCCTGCCTCCAGGCTAGGGCCCCTGGCTACGGGGGCCCGCCCACCTCGGGCAAGGCCCCCGACCGTGATGTAGGCGACGGCGGACTCAACCTTGCCGACGATGCCCATCACCAGGTGGCTCCACCACCTCGAGGTTGACGGCGTACTCCAGCCCGCAGTCGTCGCCGCCGCCGAAGGCGACGTACGCGAGGTCGTCGACGAAGTGCGACACCACGCCGACGAGGCCGTCGCGCCCCGCGCACCAGAGCCGCCCTCCCGGAGCAGCGCGCACGCGCACCCGGGATCCGACCACCGCCACCTCCGCCGGGCGAGCCGCCACCAGAGCCGCTCCCGCACCGCCAGCCGCCGCAGCCGCAGGCACCGCAGGAGCCGCCGCCCCGCCAGCCGCAGCCGCCCCCTTGGTCGCGGCGGCCTTCGGCACCACTGCCGAGCCGCCTGCGCCGTCGGCCCACTCGTCGGACTCGAGGTCCGACATGGGCTCCACGCCGTCGCCGCCGTCGGCCCCGCCAACGGCGCGCGCAGCCACACGCCGCGCTGCGCCGCGCCAGCTTGGCCTCCGAGACGACGGGCGAGTTCTTCTTCACGTCCTCGGCGCCCGCATCGCCAGCCGCCGACACGGGCGGCGCGGCCACCGCGGCCGACGCCGCGGCAGCCACCGCCGCACGGGCGACAGCGGCGATGGTGCGCCGCGGCGCGTGGCCGTCCACGGCGGCGCGGACGGCGGCGGCGACGAGCGCCGCGCCGTCGAGCGTCGGGAGGGCCCCTCTAGCCCACGCAGCCCGCGCAGCAGCCATCGCGAGGGACGGCGGCGCGGCGGGCGCAGCGGGCATGCAACCGCTTGAGCCAAAATGGCTTGAGCCAAAATGGCTACGCAAGAGGAGGAGGAGGAGGAGGAGGAGGAGGAGGAGGAGGAGGGGGGGGCTCGGGCTTTCGGGACGCTCCTCGGAGGAAGGTCGGTGGAGCTGTTCGTGCCCGCGGCTCGCCGTGGCCAGAGAGGCCCCTCCGTTCCTTGCGCGGCGCTCCTGGTGGTAGCAGGGCGGCTGTGTTGCTGAGAGGAGCTTAAGCCACACGCCCGGGCCACCGGCCGCTCAATAATTACACACTGCTCATTTATAATTGTTCTAGACTTCTTTGATTTTCTGGGGGGCCAAGATCCTTTTCATTTCTCATTGTTCTATCCTGGGCGTCTTCCTGGCCACATGGGGGCCAGGAACAATTAGAAACGAGCAGAATTAGAAATGAGCACGATTAGAAATGAACGACGTGTACACAATACGAATACTACTCTCCTCTCTACCCTGGTGGCGTCCAGGGAATGTCCGGCCCCCCCTCTGCGTATTGGTTTTTACACACAGGATTCCCGGCAGTTGGGCTTTCGCTCGGGTTTGTTGTTCAAAATGCTGCTCTCGTTCAAGCGCTGGCTTCATTTTCGAGCTACCGCTCGTTCCGAATCGTGCTCCCGCTGCAGCGCTGGCCTCATTTCCGCGCTTCCGCTCGTTCCGAATCGTGCTCCCGCTGCAGCGCTGGCGTCATTATTTCGAGTGGTATGCCACGGCATGGTTTTCGGTCCTTTCAAACAGGTCCCAAAATCTAGAACATGGACCCCCGAAGAAACCATCGGAAGTGACTACACATTCGGTGTCGATTCGTTGACTTTTGTTGGCCGCCGAAGCCCCCACTTTGGAGCGTCGCCACGCCATGCTATGTCAGGCTACGCGTCCTCATTTCCGCGCTTTCGTGTTTGGTATTTGTTCAAACTGCTGTTCTCGCTGAAGCGTTGGCCTCATTTTCGGGCTACCGCTCGTTCCGAATCGTGCTCCCGCTGCAGCGCTGGACTCATTTCCGCGCTTCTGCTCGTTCCGAACCATGTTCCCGCTGCGGAGCTGGCGTCATTATTTCCAGCGCCATGCCACGGCATCGTGCATGGTTTTCGGTCCTTGAAATATGCCCCAAAGTGTAGAAAATGGACCCCCGGATAAGCCATCGGAAGTGATTACACATTCGGTGTCGATTCGTTCATGTTTGGGGCCGCAGAAGCCCCAACTTTGG